TATATATCTACAATATTATCCATATATAATGTAGGAAATATAATATCATAAACCATATATTGTAATATATATTATTATAATATACCATACTTATATTACATATTTAAATAATGGTATTTTATCATAATACCGTATTATCACTACAGTTTTACATCGTACATTTATAAAATAAAATGTAAAATGTAATAACACATTTTTCCATGAATAGTATTAATATAATATACTCCCTGAATGGAGGTATCGTGACGCAACGATTCAAAACGTTCCACATATTATACGCACGTGAATATCATCCTCATTATTGTTGGGCCGTGACTTTTGAAGAAAAGAATTTTGTTTGATAATATCACATGTTAATTGTTATACTTTGTATCACGTTAAGTATTTTAGTATTTGTTATTTTGAATTTTTKACCAAAACTTGTTGACTACATTTTTGTTAACTATGTAGATAAAAACATTAATAACAAAATGGTGGTCAACGACTTATTCTCATTTGTTTAACTTTAAATGTATGGTTTGCCAGTAAATTTATATGTCTTATTGAGTAAAACTCAACGATTCACTATTAAATATTCAAATACTCATCACCATGATGAAGACTTACAAATTAACCGTTCATCAAAAGGCTTTCAGTAGTGAGTATATTACATATTGTTAATTCATGGATATTACATTCAGTTTTTTTTTTAATTTAACAATTTAAGGTTCAGAACTTATTGTCAATATTAAAGACTTTCCGAAAGCAATCATAGGTGATATTGTAGAAGTTTATCATTCAGACTCTGAACAAAATAAGTTGTTGCTACAAATTATGGCGTTTAAAGATGATTTACAAAGTAAAGGTAACTATTGTCTTACAAGTTTCTAATTCATATATGATAGTTATCAACTATTGTATCAATAGGTAACATATGTATTTAGACTTAGGGGGTAWGGGGCAGTTGGGATTTTGGAATTTTTCCTGTCGTGCTAGTTCTATAACTATTTTAAAATAGTATTTTATGTAAAAAAAAAAAAAATCATAATGAATTATACATTTTTTTCAAGGACATTTTTTCTTCTAGTGCTTATCAAAATCAAAATAGCTATTGGATTTGTTAGGTCGCTGTTTAGTTTTTTTAATATCTGTGGTAATTACTTTACTTTAAAAAGAGTCATAAATAATAAAGAAAAATTTAGTACTTGGTTTTATATGATATGAACATTGTTTTGTATATTTACAAATCTGAATAATCTATAGACTATAGACGACTAATAGTACTATACAAGATACAGTCAAATATTTACTAAGCACAATTATGGAAAGATAGATTTCTATCTTTAATTGTGTCATAAATTAAACTTAAAATTGGTAGGCATTTAATTGAATTGAACAAATAAAAACAATATTTCAGATAGTTCTTAACTATATTGTATACCAATTTGGAGGCTTAACTATCCCTACAGCTAAAGTGGTTCTATCCCAACAAAACAGGTTTTTGTGTGTTGTTGGTTTGTAAGACAGAAATTTACATGCGAGTGTAGTGTCCTCTTAAGTGAGAAAACTTGAAGATTTTATTCTCTTGGACCATGGCAATAAAAAAATAATTTATGTACAAAATAGATTTTAATAAAATTATTAAGTAACTAAAGTTTTAAATAATTTATTATGAAATAAACTTTCTTATTGAATGTAAAAATTGTAATAATAATAATTTAAATTATTCACTTTTACTGTGTCTTATAGGTATAAATAAACTAAGACTATTGATGATAAATATATACTATATAATAGGTATATACTAATACAGCTTTTCCAAATATGTAAAACAAATTTTAGTTATATTTATATAATAATAATGCATGTTGGCTAAATTTTAATATTTGGTAAATTATGAAGTATGCTAGTTACTTTTCTGGGCCGAAATCTTTCTTCAATTTGCCCATAGCTACCTTTATATATTTTAAAAGCAATTTTATATTATTAATTAAAAATAAATAAATAAAATTAAAGCTTAGGCTAACCTATGTAATCGAAAATATCTTTATCTCATTTTGTTTAAAAGTTATTATTTATTTACAGTAGAACCTCAATTATCCGAACTAATTGGGACCATACCAAGTTTGTATTGGCAAAAATTCGGATAGCAAAAATTAAAAATGATATTATTTGTACAATGGATATAGAATATTATTATTGCATATTATTGACTTATTATACTTATAATTACATGTTATTTATTTATTTTTTATTTTTATTTTTTAATTATCCCGCGGCAACTAAGGCCATTGGGAAGGGGGTAGTACTGTAGGTYCTTGTGGAACTGTAGGTTGGTTTTACACGTGGGTGAGAGTTTTGGCAGAATTTCTATTGGGGTACCCGCAGGTTTCTGTCATGCACCGGAGTGGGGGATGGCGTCACTTGTTCTCCRGACACGTATTTACGTATCCCACTTGATTTGAGCATCATAGTGCTAAATTCAGGTACGATTTGGATACCAAAAAATTAAATACATTCCCTACTGGTATTCAGCACTCATATTATATTATATCATATTGTCAATAATCTTTTAAGACTATATATATTATATTATTATTATATTATATTTTTTATAAGTATTTTATAATATTGAAAATTTTCAATTTGACAGGTTATACATTATAATTATAAGTAAAACAGTTTCTAATGTTAATATGAATAATATGAATATAAATATTAAAATATATTTAATGAGTTACTATG